AAATATTCTCTCCTCCAAAGACTTCAATGTCGTAAACATATTTCATCCAGTTTTTCTCAGTCTTACCCCCATCCCGATGTCAGCCTCATACTTACTCTATTTTTAAGATTCCAAGGAAGGAGATTCTACAGCCTCTCTGGATAATTCATGCGGGTGTTTAACCCGTTTTATCGTTTGGAATGCCTTTATACTTTATTTAAATTTCCACTACTAAAACTTTAAGCATACTTCTCTTATACCCCAGAAACAAGATTAAATAGTTCCTCAATCTGTACGTACTATCTTCAAAACAGAGAATAGTTAATAAATTTCTTAAACATTTTTTATTTATTTTCTTTTGTTGCACATTTTCCTCCCTTCCCACAGGCCACCCAGAAATATTCCAGATTGCTGTCATACTCAATTAACAATTTCTTAGAATATTTCTGTCCAGGTAAAGTATTGTCAATTCCATTAACAAAATTTTCTTCATGGGCTGATTTTTTTTATTCCCATATTTTTTATCATCTTCGAATACATTTTTTTTTCCTGAACCTACTTGATGTTTTTGTGCATTTTCCTTAAATGTTAATTTTTCTTAAAATATTGCTGCTGTTGTGGGCCACTGAGTTTTAAGTGACCCTCCAGTGCATTTTCAGAGGCAGTAAATGGCACGAGAGGAGAGCACCCATCCCTCTCCTGTGAAGCAACTGGTAGATTCAAATTGTGTGCCTTTGGGATTGTAGCATAGCTTCTTATTACGAGGCCACTAGAGCTCTCTATATAGTAAGTCATGTAATGCAGAAGCTTTCTTGAAGTTCTTTAGTCTGTTTTTTTATTTCCTGGAAGGTTTTACCCTAAATCAATCAGGCTCACTAAAACATTTCCTATCTCTAAGTAATTACATCACAGAACAACTTATACTCATCTTTGACTGTCAAGTCAGCAATCATTAGAGTTTTATTCCAAGTTTCTCAAGATTCTTGTAGTCAAAAGAAAAACATTTAAGATTAATAATTACACTGTAAAGACATTCCCTTATTTATTCATCTGCTCAGATAGAGAGGGATATAATTCTTGAAAGTCTCCACTTGGTTGTAATTCTCCTATTAGATCACTGTTAACGCAAAAAGTCACAGAACTTGCCCTAATAAGAATTTGAATTCGTGTCCTAATAATTCATAAGGAAACAAGCAGGAACAGTGATGACAAATCAACATGGTACTCAACAGAGGTTGATACAAATATCAGAAAGAGGGTAACAGCCTTTGGCTTCTAAGAAGCCACAATCACAAAAAAACATGTAATCTTTCTTAAATATTGGACTAAAATATCTTAATAGAAAGTAATCAATCCAATCGAGTTAAAAAGTTAAACTCTATCAATGGGCTCAAGTAAATCAGAGATAATGAAGATGGCAGAGGATAGAGCAATAATTGGATCCATAGTTCACACAGTCACTATGAGTTGAAGTTGACTCAAGGGCGCTTAACAACAACAAAACTTTTAAGAATTTAGGGCAAAACGTGGCCTATATCTCATATATATTCAGAAGTGAGGTTGTTGTTATTAGGTGCTATCACATCAACAAGAACTCATGGTAACAACATAATGGGCTTTTTCTTGCAAATGAAAGGATCAACATCCTTTAGTCAGATCCTTCATTTGGATGTAGTCTGTTCAGTCAAATGTGGCTGCAAGACTGTATTATGAACAGTGGACATTGCAAAGAGTCCACAGCTAGTGAGAAACTAATAGCATTAACAATATAGAGATAAAAAGGGAAAAAAAATCATGATTGTTAGGACATCTCTGCTAAAGAGTCCTAAAAGCCTGGTTGAATGGTAAAAAAGGGGGCTTTTTACATGATTCTACTTACTTTGCATATGATATTTAAAAAAAAACCCACAAACTACTTCAACGCATTGTGGAGTAAGATGACCATTTGGTGGGTTTTCAGAGGTAGTAAACCTTGTGCGCAGAGACTGACTCTCACCCTGTAGAAAGCTGCTGGATTTGAACCATCTGCCTTGTGTTGGGAATGCAACTCCTTATTTACTAGTCCACCAGAGCTCTCTTTTTATTTAACCCTAGAAATCTAAGAAGTAAGACTTCACATCCAAGTAAAGAAGAACTGACACAGGAACAGGATGGTTTCCTTGCATTTCTATGCCAGATGCAGATTACAATTCCAAAGAGGGCTGGCCATTTGCCAGAATCACAGTTATTCTGGAACACACATGGCTGCCTGAAATCCTACACTGACAGCAATGCTTGAGGCAAATTTTGCTGTTACAATGAAAAGCATTCAGTTACAGTCCTCATGTCTTCCCTGAAGAACACTAGCTCCACAGAAAGAGAAAAGGACCATAGATAAGGCAGTCTCTAAAAACCCTCTCAAATTTATTTCAAAGGGAAATGAGGTAGCAAAGCATATTCTATTTCTAGACGACATAAAGTCTTCTATATAGTTGGGTTTAATTACTGGCTAAAAAGATCAATATAAGTTTAGTAAAATGAATGAAAGGGAAATTCTTAGTGAATAATTTTCAAATTTTTTTAATTGTCCCATAACAAGATAGAATGAAAAGAATATCAATCGTTCCAGCTGTTTTTTCAACTCTTTTTCATCAACTAATTTCTGATTCACTGTTGTTAACATGACTTATTGTTAGGACTATCTAACTATACAGTGTTATAATTAAAGGAGAATGACTAAGTAGGGTCACATGCAAGGAAAAAAACCAACATTAGTATTTTTTGTAAATGCTTACAACTATTTCCTGTAAAATGATATGTGAGAAGTGAGGGTACCAAAATACAATTACCACAAATATAGATTCCACTTACCAGTTTGATTGCTACATATTCATTGGTGTAGAGATTTTTACCTAGGAGAAAAAGCAGAATATTTATGTTTAATGACATTTACTCTGGGAAATACAAAGCAAAAATCTTAGCTCACGGGGTCATGAGAAAGGTCACATTCTCGATGCTGCTTACATGTGGAAAACATGAAGTTTAAATGAAAAGCTAGACAGAAATAGTGAGACCCAGCAAGTGTAGGACAAAAACAACTTGAAGAGTTTGAAAATTTGGACTTTAGTTATTTTTTTGAAAAAGAAAGCAAATAAATCTCTCTCTGTGTGCTGCTAACACATATATATATGTATCTTGCACAAATTTCTTATTTCCCCAAGAATTAAGCCACAATACAAATAAAAAGGGAGAAATTATGAATTTCAAAGATACACAGATTTTACCTCTTGGCACAGATCTACATTCTGCAAAAAAATCTTCACCTACAGAATTTTTCCCTTTTATTTAGGTCATGGTATTATATATCAAAGTTAGAGGACATTAAAAAAAAAAGATAATCAAGTATTCTTGTCCATCCTTCTTCTTGGAAGAAGAAGAATTAATCTGCTGCCTATAAATAGATAATTCTTTGAGTAGGTTCAGAGGCAGGAAAGGAGAATCTTACTATCATCAAGAACGAAGAAACAGTGCAGCATACCCTTTGGGCCAAAGATTTCTGATCTCGACCAGTTAAGACAGTGACAAAGAATCAGTGGTACCAGCAACGCTAGTAGTGAGCCAGAGGCGGGTATGAGACAGCGGAATTGGATTTGCTTCCTCACACAGTACAGACTGCAACTCAATGTCAAAAAGACAAAGATTTTTACCATTGGACTGACAGGCAGTGTCATAATAGATGGAGAAAAGCCTGAAACTGTCAACAGCTTGATCTTGCTTGGATCCACAATTAAGATTCTTGGTACCAGCAGTCAAGAAATAAGGAAATACATTGCATTGGGAAAATCTGCAGTTAGAAACCTCTCCAAATTACTGAGGAGTAATAATGTTAGTAGTTTAAGGATTAAGGCATGTCTGATTCAGGTCATGGTCTTTAAAATTGCTTGCTATGCATCTGAGAGCTGGACAATGAATAAGGATGACAGAAAAAGAATTGACACCTTTGAGCTGTGGTGTTGGAGAAGAGCAATGAACATCCCATGGATGACCAAGAGAACGAACAAGTGTGTCTTGGAGAGGATGCAGCTAGTGTGCTCTTCAGAGGCAAGAATGATGAGGCTTTGCCTCCCATATTTTGGGCATGTTGCTTGCTGAGGGTGTAGGGTCGGGGAAGGAAAGGGCATTCAACCAAGTGGACTGATAACAGTGACTGCTGCAATGGGCTCTTGTGCATCAGGAAGTGTGAGGATGGCTCAGAATACAACAGGGTTCAGAGCTTTTGTTCATAGGATTACTATCAGTCATACTTGACTGGATGACCCCTAACAATAACAACAATCCCACAGAATCAGAGCTGTGTTCCTTCACCTAGGCTTACTGATAGAGGGAAGGAGGGATATTTAATTGAAAGAACAAAAAGAGTTTTGTAACATTTATTTAAGCATGAGTAGGGCCCAGAATATGACACCTGTGGATAGGAAATGGTCTGAGATCTTGTCTAAAAAGTTGTTCTGATAAAGCATTGTATCCTGGTGTTTCCAGGCTGAACTGTAACCAATTACTTCTGAAATAAACCCCATACTTGTGAAATTTAAAGGGGGGGGGAGGATAATTCTCAAAGCTGTCTTACCAGAACTCTAGCTCTGTGCATTTAAATAGAGGAAACAGATCTCCACCTGCACCGCTCTACCATCTCTGTTTCTTCCTGAAATGGTAACAATTCTCTCCTTCAACTTCCCTACTTCTATAAACGGAATAAAAACACTACACATCTTGACTGGTGGCCTGGAGGGGTAATGGGGATGAAGATGAGGGCAAATAGCACTTACTGGGCCTGTATTACATGATAGGTACTTCTTGTTATTATGTGCTGTTGAGTCACCTATGACTCAAAGCGACCCTATGTACAATATCTCTGAAGCCTGTCCTGTCCTGAGCCAGTCTCACTGACTCCGACACATCAACCCCCCACTGCCCTAGTTACTGTATCAAACCATCTCATCTGGGGTCTTCCTCTTCTGTACTGTCCCTTCACCCTTCGGAGCATGATGTCCTCCTCCAAGGATTGGTCCCTCCTGGCCATATGATCAAAATAAGTGAGAAAGAGCTTAAAAATCCTAGCCTCCAAGGAGAAGCTTGGTTTCAAAATCTCCAAGACAGATCTATTTGTTTTCTTGGCAGTCCAGGGTATGTTCAAGATTCTTCTTAAGCACCACAACTCAAAGGCATCAATAGTTCTTCTGTCATCCTTAGTTATTGTCTAGCTTTCTGATGCAGAGCAAGTAAATGCGAAGACCATGGCCTGGATCAAGCACATTTTAGTCTCTAGACCGACACTGTTGCTTCTCAGTACACTGGAGAGGTCCCTGACAGTAGATTTTCCCAGTGCAATTCACCTTTTAATTTCCTGACTGCTGGTGCCAAGAACTGACTGTAAGAGCCCAGCAAGCTATAATTAACAACCTCAATGTCTTCCCCATCTATCATGGTGCTGCCAATTTAGCTATCCCCATCTCTCCAATCATACTTGAAGTTTTAACTCTAATTCCTCCTTACTGTTCAGTTTATATCATATGCTTTAGTCACTGTCTAGGACTTCATATTGTTTTTCATGCTTAGTGCTTTTAATGCTCTTATCCCCTGGAACTATCTTGGGTGTAATGATTTTATATAATAACTTTTTAAATGCCTTATGGTGTTCTGTACATAACAGATATAAACACCATGTTTTGTACATATCAGATACTAATATATTTATCTGATTAAAAGTTACTGGTATGTATAGCAATCTTTTGCCATGCAATTACTGCTTTGGAGAACTCACTAGAGGATTAGCTATGTGTCAGTTTGGCTAGATGGTACACAACAAATAATGACTGTAACAGTATATTCCTATAATAGTATAGAAAAGGATATTGAAAGTTGTACATTAAAGTACAATTTAATTGTTATTAAATAAGTGTTAAAATAAGTGTTTCTTGGTAATCTGATTTTTATATGACTCTGACTTGACCAATGCAATTCGTCTTTTAACTTCCTGGCTGCTGGTACCAAGAGTGTTGACTGTGGAGTCAAACAAACAGAAGCTGTTAATAATCTCAATCTCTTCTTTGTCTATCCTGATGCTGCCAATTGGCCCAGCGGGAAGAATATTTGTTTTCTTGATGATGTACAATAATTTCCTGTCAGGTCACCTTTTTTTGGAAATGGGAATAAATATGGATCTCTTCCAGTCAGTTGACCAGGTAACTGTTCTCCAGATTTCTGGTACTGGGAATGAATATACCATGGACTACAAGAAGAAGAAACAATCTTATCTTGAAAAAAATACACCCAGAAAGGTACTTAAGTAAGAAAGGTGAAGCTCTGGAAATGTTATCAGGACGGGGATGGTTCCTGAAGCTTTTATGCTTACTAAAGTAAGGAACAGTGACAAAGAGGAATACCTTCAAGGAAGTTAAGACTTATACAGTGGCTGAAACAATGAACTTAAACACAGCAACAATACTGAAGATGGTACAGGATTGGACAGTGTTTGATTGTTATAAACAAACAGGGTTACAATGAGTTCAGATCCACTCAACAGCACAGAACAACAATATGTTACACCAAACATGATAGCTGAGACATCATAAAAGGCTAACTTGGCTTGTTTGCTTTTCTCTGGGAGTGTCAAAAAAACTGAATACAGGTCACCCTTTTACAAAGCAATCATCCTTATTTAGGAAAGCACAGGAGATAATTCCTAAGGGGAAATCTGATAATTATCCTGAGAATTCACTTTTCAAATTCATTCCTTTGTGAGGAGACAAACACATCATTAAAACAAGAGGCCAATACAAAAAGGCAGCTACGGAGAAGTCTAGACAATCACTCAGTCACTATCCTCCGTGATACACACTGCAGAAATTTTTGTCCGGAATAATTTAATTACAAAGATTGAGGGTTAAAAAAAAATCTTTGCCCACTTAAAATAAATAACTGGTTCAGCTTAAAAAAAATAAAAAAGTATCAATATCTGTGAGAAAGGCTGGTAGGCTAATGGACAGAAAAATACCACTGATGAGATGGCACAATACCAAGTACTCAAAGCTTTTAGTATCTGTTGTACAAAATCCACAATGCTTCCCAATCTCACTTCCTGGCTATGTGTTCTCTTATTGTTAATGGAAAAGAAAATGCATTACATAGTAGTTTTTGGAACTTTGCATCTAAACTCAGCCCTTTCAAAGCAGTGATGAATCTGATGCTGCCCATAAAACCCACGGCATGAAGACTTCCTTTTTCAGTAAGTCACCTACAGAGACATTTACCGTAAGCTTCATGAGACACAGCATTATTTCACAAAAGCAGCAGGTCTGTTCTCAGAACCACACTGATAAAGGACCATAGAGCCTCTGGTTCCCAATTTAGTTACATCTCCAGCTGTCATATTTCCTTGTCCTAAAGTGAAAGTACTACATTTATAAATTACTACCTAGAATTTTTCTGAAAATCTACTGAAATAAACTTGAGTCAATTAGTAGTTAAAACAAGAAACCCATATTTACTTAAGGCAAAGAAGACACAAGGGCCGAATGCCTCTACTACTTAGAAAGTACTACATTATTAGAATGTGCATTATTAGGGTAAATAGTTAATAAATGACATTATAACTTCAAAGAACAATCTATAGGTTTTATTTTTGTTAACTTCTTGTTATGTTGAAACCTCTGGCAGGTTTTCAGAGGTAGTTTATCACTTTGGAGGAGACTGTCCATCTTTAACTTACTACTAAAATATTAGGAAGCTCTAGTGGCCTAATGGGTAGGGAGTTGCACTACCAACTCCAAGGCAGGTGGTTGAAACCCCACCAGCTGCTGGGAGGGAAAAGATGGGCAAACTTCTCCTGTGCAATTTATAGCCTTTGAATAAC